TTGAATCCGTGAATTTGTAAGTTTAATTATTGGATGATGATGATGTACTGACTATGGTGGGACTGTAGAATCCACCTCAGAAACAATAAGGTAGCCTAAATAAAATGGGTGAAGCTCTTCTTACAACCTTATCCATGGAGAGTAATCATTTGTCCACACTTTTGTCTATGGATTCAAATTCAGCCACGCACGAAAAAATGGAGAGAGAGTTGAATCGAACCATCAATCTAGCTTGACTATTGGATATAAACCTCCCACTCAAAGGTTTCTACTTTTATTTTGATAATTACCTTTTATTGTTATAGTAGATAGTAATGGTAAAATTAAATAAAGAAACTAAAAATAGGGTGAGAGTGGTTTCGTGTTAAAAGAAAAGGTCATAGGTGGGTTTGAAAAATGGCCGTTAGATTTAATCTAACGGTCTACATAGAAAGTGTTGATTAATTTTCTTACTCCATGGGGAGCAAGAGATTAGGACTCCAGTATACTATATACTATATATTATATGCAGGAAGGCTCTTATGTGGTCAACGGAGCAAAACTAAATTAGTCAATTACACTTTATTACTCTATCAGGCTTAACCATAGTTAATAATATTTATCAGACTTAACTATAGTTAATAATATTAATTTTAACAGTTAATTTATCATAATTAACCAATACATTTATTCAATTTCTCTCCTCTTTAATTTCTTCTATGTTTTTTTGTAATCTTAACCACTATTATTATATCCACACCATATCCCAAATTACACTTTATGGTAATTTGGCTTGAATCATTGTTGATGATGACTAAACATTAATTGTGATATCTACATATATAATAGTAGCATGATGATGGCATGATGCTATATATGTAGAAATGACATTTAGTATCCTATCACAATGTTTTCTCTATTACGTACCGATTCATGACTCCATATGGGCGGCCATGTCTACTCCATACTTGTAAGTTGTTTGGTAGTGTGTAATGTGTATATATAGCTAACTAGGCTAGGGTTTTTTTGGCAGTGCATCAGGTGGCTGTGTATGTTTAGGCTGTGTGCTGTATGTATATAAATGTGTGTGTGTGTGTGAGTGAGTGTTTGTGTGCATTAATTAATAAGGTAGCTTCCCCAAGAGGGAAAAAGGTCGATCCTAGCTCTGTTAGTAGGCATATATAAATACGCAGTAATGTCAAGTTGTCAACTTTAACCGTCTTATTGCGTATATATGCAACTTTTACTTTCTTTTGCTGCCACTAAATTTGTAAAAGAGACATATTCATGTAATAAATCCAAATTTAGAGAAACAATAATAAATGTAAAATGAAGAAATTTTAAGAATGGGTGGAGTAAATCATGCAGATTGAAGCAAACGGGGTTAGATTATAGTAGGAATTTAAAATCCTGAAACAAAGAGTTTTATTGAAAAAAAATTACATAAATGGATGTGAGTAGAGAGAGAGAGAGAGAGAGAGAGAGAGTACACACACAATGCTTATATCTCCATCTGATTGTCATCAAATGTTTGGAAGCTTATGGAGCAACAACCACTTGCTGACGACCTCAGCTTACTTTTAGAGAAAATTCATGGTGTACCTAACTTGAAAATGAGATCTCATTTTCTAAATACATCAATGTCTTTTTGTTGCAATATATAGCGTCTGATTTAGACTAATGAAAGACTGTGGGGCACAAATAAAAACACACACACACACACACACACACATATATATATATATATATCCGTTTGCATTATACTATTTAGACTGTGAAATTGGTGGAATCCAGTGGTTTCTTCAAAAAAATAAATTTTTGTTATGTAAACCAAATACTAAAGACGGAAGAGTTAGCGTTGATAAAGTTGAGTGGACCCTTGAATGCGCGCACAATTGTTAGGTGATGATGAAAGCATAGATTTTGTTGGTTGCCCAATAATTATATCATCCAATAAGATGCACAACTTTGCTATCCGGTTTCAATGGTTGAAATCCATCATAATTAAAGATTTTACGTCCACTTAAAGAATAAGCATTCGCTTTTTTAATTAGTTTGTTTCCCCTCTTTGTTATATGATTTGCATGTGAAGATATATATAATCTGTCTTAAAATATAGATTATTGAACTGAATTAGATAAATTTGCCTCTTTTCAACTAAACTGTATACATTAGAAAGTTAAATCATATTAAGGTATGTGAGGCAATTAAAATTTGAAAATCAAGTGATGATAAACCAGATGACTTGGTCATAGAAGAAGAACATTCTTGGCACTGCACCACCACCAACAGAAGATTGCAACTGATGGATGGATGCCTAATGCCTGACAATTTTATGAACAGATGGGAGAGGGCCTATTATTTATATTATTGTACGACAGCAGTAACAATAATAATAGTCCCACACCACACAATCCCATTCTCCATGCTATAGCTTCTATCTAGTCCCCCAAGAGGAGGCCCCTATTATTGGGTGTATATAAGGATCAGGATCACCCCCAATTACATAGTGTAATTATTTGATACATTTAAAATAAGTAGCTGAGAATGTATCACATTAATTAAAAAAAATTGGGTAACTTATTTTTTATCACCCCTTAAAATATTGTATTTCATATATATAAAAATTTTAAATATTATTTCTAAAAAACGATACGCACGGCTGTCTCCCTTTCTCTCTCTAAAAGCTATGCACGGCTGTCTTCCTTTCTCTCTTTAAAAGGGAAGAAGGAAATATTACTAACTCCGGTGAGGCAAAGAAGAAGAAGTGAAGATCGAAGGTTTGAGGCGAAGAAGAAGGGAAGAAGGAAGGTCTGAGGGTTAGAATTTGAATTTCGAATAAACGAAGATGAAGAAGAAGGGAAGGGATAATGAAGAAGAAGGGAAGAAGGTTTGAGGCTGGAAAAGTTGGGATAAGTTGGGATGCACCTTAAGAAAATATTGGGTTGTACTAGAACGACGGTGAGGCGAAGAAGAAGAAGTGAATAACGGCGGTCTGAGGCGAATAAGGCGGAGGAAATAGTACCATTTTAAATGGTACACTAGCAATTAAAATGTTGGGTTGCACCTTAAGAACATGTTGGAATGCACTTTACAAATAAGGTGGGATGTTTGTACGAAAATGTTGGGATGTACCTTAGAAAAATATTATGATGCACCATTTTTCAAATACGTCGGGATATATGCTACGAAAATGTTGGGAAATTGTTGTGATGCAGTTGGAAAATTGTTGTGATGTAGTAAATGAGGATAATTTGGGATACATGTATAATTTTCAGATTTTATTTTCAAAGAAATCCTCTTATATTTATAAGAATGGCATAAACAAAGAAATCGTACCTCTTGCTTCGATTTGGAGAAGTCTGATATGACCTTCAATTTGGAAATAGAATCGCTTATTCTATTTCGAAATAAAGCCTGCTTCCTGCTTCTATTTGGAAAGAAATCGAATTATACCTGGGTTGATTAATATTTTGGGAGAGAGAAGGGTAGCTGGGTGGCGGGATTTCAATTTTATTTCAAATGGGTTGTTGAAATGAAGGAGGGAGGGAATAAGAAATAAGGGAGGAAAGAAGAGTATATTTGAACACTGGATACATATATATATATATATATACACACACACACACACAAAAATTATATATAAAGCAAATACAATTTTTTATCACCATGATAAGTACTGTTCATTCACAACAATAGAGCAAATGGTTGCACTATTTCATCGGAGGTGAATTTTCACCGTATATATAAGTAGGAATAGCTCTTTATTTTCAGAAAGAGACACAAATTTCGCATACCATGCATGGAAGTTCACAAACATCTTCTTTACAAATATATATATATATATATATATATATATACACACACTTCAACAGTTAGATATGTACAGTAATTATGTATATATTGGGTACACCTCTCCCAAGATCCTATACAATGGTGCCATGCTGGTGGTTATAGACAGTGTAAGACCAAAAACCTATATGATATCACATCCCATGAAGCTTACAATGTTAAAGCCCGACCAGCACCGGTCTTCATTCGCCAAGGCGAGCTTCACCTCGTTCGTGGGTTGAGTCTGATTATTTACATATATAAATTTTAATTTAATATTAAATAATAAGGTCAAATTTATCATTTCACATTTTAATTAACGGATCAGTCATAGTTAAAATGATGAGTTTTGTTAATTCAGGGATAATTTAATTTTAGTGAGATTTTTTGCAGCAATTTAATAGTATAGGAAATTTTGTGATTTTAACTCTATATATGCACACGTGAAAAACTTAAATATATGGATATGGTTAACAAGTGATAAACACAAGCCCGACCCCTCTAATTTGAACCTGGCTTAACTCTGACCAACAATATTCCTTGCCCAAACCAAATTAATGGGCCATTTACATGTGGGGTGAGATGAGGCAGCACTCTTCAATAGTTTGCATCCACCAATTTTGATTTAATTGGCAAAATCTCTCATGTTGTGTTTAAAAGCACTGAGTAGCATGAAATTCAGTTTAAACTTTGAATTAAATTTTTTTTCTTTTTAATCCAATATACCGATTCAGTACTTCAAACATGATTCAAATATTTTAACATAATAACTTAAATACCACCTTTACCAACTGATCATTTCTAACAAATTGATAATTAAGATTAAGAGCAAAGTGGTGAGGGAACATGAATCAAGTAGTCTTCCCAATTATAGTCAAAAAAGAGAAACGACATACACTCACAATTCCACCCACAAGGAATAAAATAAAATAAAAACACCATTTAGAATAGATTCAAATAAAATGCGCACAAAAATATACACTAAAATATGATTTAACTAATGTAGCCAAAACAAACACGTCTTTCACTTTTTATTCTATCATACATAAAGTGAGCCAACATACAAACAACTCAAAACATTCTTTAGCCTCTTGCAGACAATTTTGTTTAGCTAAACACATCACTTTCATTTCTTTAGCCTTTTCTTCTGCTTCTTCTAAATTTATGGATACTAATGCTCAATGGCCACAGGTAGCTAAAGTAATTTATCTCCAACTTATTTTCTTCTGTGATTTCTTTTTCTACTTAATATATACAAGTTTCAGTGGTTCTATAAATATTATCATCATGGGAATTTATATCTTTTTGATGTGTTGTATTTTCATAGAAAATGCATAATGCACTCATGCTCAATTTTGTCCTTTTTTCTTTTTTCGAAATTAACACTTAATTTGTTCTTGAAACATAAAAGCTTGCACTACTGCACTTTTTTTTTTCTTTGCCCTTTTTCTTTTTGCTCATGTGATAACTGATAAAGCAATGGAAAAAGGTATTATTTGTTATTTTTATCCTTCCTATAGAATCCTCAAAGTGAAAGCTAACTTGGTTTTTCTGTCTGCTAGATTTGTAAGTGATAATAATTTGTTCTCATGTGGTGTGTGTGTGTGTGTGTGTGGGTAGGTGTTTCAGGATGTTGGAGTGGTGAAACCCAAGGAAGAGACAACTCCAAATATAAGCTCCAATCCTAGTATGTTAGAGAGAAAGGTTAGGGCAGAGAAGAAGCAAGCCTTAAATTGTCCAAGATGTAATTCAACCAACACCAAATTCTGTTACTACAACAACTACAGTCTCACTCAACCAAGATACTTCTGCAAAACCTGTAGAAGGTACTGGACTGAAGGTGGATCTCTCAGAAATGTTCCTGTTGGTGGATGTTCAAGAAAGAACAAGAAGATATCTACCGCTATATCCTACAAACTCCCTGATCTGAACCCACCAACCCTTTCACAGTTTTCTTCTCAAAACACTAAGACCAATGACGAAGCCCATGATCTTAACCTAGGCTTACCGGGTACACAAGAATATCACGGTGTTTCTCAATTTCTTAAGCTGCCCAAAATTGAAAACAACTACATGACCAATCACCATAATTCTTCTTCATCGACACTTTCAACCCTAGGGCTGCTTAGGTCTGGAATTGACTCCACGGGGTTCATCCCAACAATGATGAATCCGGATTCAAATACACCATACACATCAGTGTTTCCTTTGCATGACTTCAAACCAACCTTTAGTTCTTATACTGATGGGGTTGGGAGTACGTATGGAATTGTTGTTGATGGGGTTCAAGGGAATGGTGGAAGAAGGCTAATGTTTCCTTTTGGAGAAACAACTGAAGTTGATCAGAATAAAGGACAAGGGAATTCAACTGGATACTCAAATGGAATGCTAGGTGGGAGATCATGATAAAATAATACACAAAGGAATAAGAAAGCAAGAAGTTTTTTCTTATTTCTCTCTCTTTCCTTAATCTCTTCTGATAACATGGTGGTGGTGTACTGGCTTGTTTGGAGGTTTTGAGAACTAACTAGTTGAAAAATATATAGTTTCCTTGGTTCTTCACAGCATGTATTCATTGATTACTGTGAAAGTTTGAAGCTCATGGTTTCCCTAATTAATGATCAGAGCAGGAGCAGGAGCTATAGATAAAAAAAAAAAAAAAAAAAAAAACAAGCAAGCAAGGGATCTCATGGTCTCAATATATTTACCAAATGGGCAGTTACAAATTTGCAAGCATTACGATATAAGAAGGTTGGGCAATCTGTCTGTCCATTGGAGTCTAACTTCGAAATAACAAATCCATAGCCACTTTAGCAAATTGTACATTTAAAACGTTAAACACAAGGGATCAAGGAAACATAGCACTTTCAATATTCGGGGAAAAGCTGATAAGAATAGCCGTGATTCTCCTCATACACGAAAATTCTACTGTACAAATATAAATTAGTACACTTATTCCTTCAATATCTAAGGGAGAGACAGCTTGTAAAACAGTCCGAACAAAAAAAACATTACATGTCCGAATAGCCTTTCCAGTTCTGGCTTCTATACAGGGATATATGTGTAACAATTTAGCAAAACAAAGGAAGGATCAAAGCCTTATACACCAGCAAAAAACTCACTACTCTCCATTGATTCCAAAGATCCTGACCTTGTGCATATTAGGGAACTTGGCAATAACTAGCACAATCACTGCAAGAGTGTTGAAGAAGAGCATTGGGTTTTGGTAGTCAGTTGTGTGTGAGGCTATCAAGTACCTGTCAGGATAACAAAATAAAATGGATTGGTTATTGATAAGTCCAAGCTACTTACCAAATAAATAGTAATAATGATAATCTGTCCCAGAATTAACAAAAATCTGAGATCCACTCATATACATCATAGAAAATTAAATGAGGGTACAATAGTAAATTTACAAATTCCTTTAACACCATTAAACTACAACAAAGACTGATGGGGAGGTCAGTGTAATTTTATTAACAATGCATAGATCACTCTATAATTTTCCCAATTTAAAAAATTGGCATCAATCAGCAGGCCAAACAGTGAATAGATATCAGCTGTGTGGGTTTTCAGTTAAAAATGTATTCTGTTATGCTTCCAAAAACTTCATTAAAATTAACCTAGTGTTAAGATCAACATCTTTCACAAAAAAACTGGCCTGTATTTTATCAGCAAACCCCTCTGATTACCAAAAATAATCTTCAATGGCCATTTCAAATGGAAATTCATTGAATGTAGTTTCCAGTTTCTCAAACAACCCAGAAATTCACACATAATCATCTCCAATTTACATGGTGGTATTAAGGTTTTGTTGATTGCAGTAGTTTGTATCTAAATCATTAAAAGAGATAATACATGACATAATAGCTTGGGATGTGTGAGATGGCAACAGCCAAATTTATCCTTATCATCAAAGAATAATATAATTGTCTTTTACAGGATTAGTTAGCATACGAAGAATTGTATGTATGATGCCAAACACAATTTATCTACTCCATGGAGAACAAAAAGGGTTTACATGTAATGTATAGAAGAATATAGTAAATAAACACATACAAGCTTGAACCTAACCAAAAGATCAACCACTAAACTGCTATGGGCTATAGTGGTCCATGGGCCTTATTTATTTATTTTTATTTTTTGATAAGTAAGATTTTATTGAAAACGCTCAAAAGGGGAGCGGAACCCAAAGAAACACAAGGGCCAAAAGGTGCCTCAAACCTTCAAAGACGCCAAAAAAACAATAATCTCCTCAATAAATCTACAATCTCTCCCTGAGACACAACAAAAAAAAGTGAAAATAATAGAGAACTTAAGCATAGAAATAAGTTTCTCCTTTCCCTCAAAATATCTTCGATTTCTCTCGAGCCAAATGCACCACCAAATACAAAGGGGCTTAGCCCTCCAAGCATCTTGAATGAGAGCCCCAATAGAGACACCTCTCCAAGCCTCAATCAACCCTCTGGAGGAACAAGGCATAACCCAATGGACCCCAAATAATCCAACCATCAAATCCCAACAGTCTCTGGCCATGCTGTAATGTAAAAGAAGGTGATCAATGGTCTTCTCACCACACAAGCACAAATAACAACGATTAATCACCACCTGATTCCTGCTCCTTAAATTATCTGGGTTTAAAATCTTACCCAGGACGGAAGTCCAGGTAAAGAAGCTACCTTAAGGAGAGCCTTAGAGCGCCAAATAGACTTCCAGGGGAAAGGGCCTCCGGTGCCGACCGAAAGGCACCTAAAAAAGGACCTAACCTCGAAACGAACTTGAAAATTAGGGACCCAAAGCCAACAATCCGAATCCCCAACTGAGATCACCTAGCGATACAGGACCTCCAAAAAACGAGTAACCTCTTCAAACGAGTGAACTTTAGCAATAAGCATCCGTTGACAACTTTAAAGTCATAGTCCAAGTATAACATGCAGAGAAGAAGATCAAATTGGGGATTCTGAGTGGAGCACACCTGAGACCTCATGTAATAAGTTGAGTTTTAATTTGTGTTGTAAATAGGTAGGCAGACTCGACATGATATTCTTCATTAGGGTCCTTCGAAAGGTATTGCGTGTTCATCTATAATTGGATTCCAAAAGGACACTTTCTTTGAAGGAAACCTCAAATACGAGGTCGGGGACGCCCCAACACCACACCCCAGAATGTCAGAGAAGAAGACCAAATTGGGGATTTTGAGTGGAGCACGCCTGAGACCTCATGCAATAAGTTGAATTTTAATTGCATTGTATTTTGTATTAGGGTTTAGGTTACAATAATGCTTGGTGTAGTTTCACGCTTTCATATGTGTTCTCTTTTTTATAAATCAAGGTACTTTGACAACTTTGAAATTTTGCTGTGGTTCATGGGTCTTGTTATGTATATTATTAGGTTTTATATGGATTCTTTAGTAGTTGTACAGTAATCTTTAGTGGTCAAAAGTGCTAATGATTGTACTTCATCTCCTAAAAAACGTAGTCTATTACCTCTTGGGTGTGTTTTTAATGAAACCTTACTTATCAAGAAGACTATTTGATTCCGTGAGCTAAATCAATATTTTATCATTTCCTGGTTGAAGAGCCTCTAGTGGAAATTGTGCTTGCATAAACATGTCATCTCCGCTAATATCGAGAATTAGTGGAAAGAGTCGCAACTGTACCGCTGAATGTTTACTTCTTTACTGCTGATTGCAGAATGGAGGCAATGTAAATTTGATGTGAGCAAAATTCCAATCAAAACTTGTTGACCTTTCATAATCCTCACAAATGCTTTGGTAAATTGGATCTGAGGGAAAGGGATTGAGAAAGAGAAAGGGAGGGCGAGACATGCAGAGTTTAATGATATATTATATTATAAATAGCATAATCAAAGCTAACAAATGAGACTGTTATGAAGTGCCATAACCACTAACTTCACGATGACTCTCATATATTTGTATGACAGTCACTCAGGCACCTGGTTGCAATCACAAACATGTAAACGAATGGTAACAAGGAAAAGGTAACAATAGAAGGAGATAACTCAACATGCACAAATATAAATAGACCAAGAAGCAAACTAACTTTTAGACAGATGAAAGAATATACATATATACATTATACAAGAAGTTAGTACATAAAATATCACAAACAAAGATGGCCTCCAATAGGGTTGCATGACATCTAGATATCCAAACGGACCAAACCAAAAGGCTGATATGAAAAAAGTGAACTTACAGCACTATAGGTACAACAGTTAGGAACTTTCTGTTGTCCGTTAGCTGCTTTCCACTGTCGATCTGTTCCCACCAAGTCAACCCATTATAGATCCCCTGGTCATCAGCAAACGGAGTTCCTTTCTTCCAATGGAAGAAGTGATAAGTAACCTAAATGGAAAAACACACCCCTCAAGCATGCTATATAGAGCTTTGAAGCAACATAATAAAATGCAGAAACATATAAATTAACAAGGTAGGAAAAAACTAGAAATTGAGACAATCACATAAAAATCATAAGGGTCGTCAATTCGTAGTTCTTGTAACAATGTTGCAAAAGAAGACTTGGCCAACTATCTTTCCAATTTCAGCCATTAAGAAATAATTTGGGTTAATCATAGCAAGAGGTATAAAAATGATAAGGAATGGTAGCAGAGAGATTACGGAGTAAAACTAAAGTTCATTAAATCTTATTGAATGATTCCACAAAAACAACAAAATCATGTCTACTCAACTCAATAAAATATTTTCCCAACTATTTGAGGTCCATAACATGAATTAGGTTTTGTTTCCTTTATGGAAATAACCTCAGTCAAACCAAGTGTTATTATATCTTTCCTTACTATCTCAACCCATTTTAATTTTGGTCTTAACTTTCTCCAGAATTACCCTCACGCGAAACACTAAAACCACAAGTACAGAAATTAAGAAGAGAAAACAAATCCAAACAATATCACCTTTTAAGTAAAACATCAAGTTGCAAATGCTGAATTGAATGTGCATTAGTTTTAAAAGAGATGATCACCCTTTTCATAAAGACCCATATAACAATTGGCCCCAACCTTGAATTGGCTAAAACCCACCAATCAGATAAAACCTAAGCAAATAAAACCCAAAAGGAAATTAAAGATAACTAGTTCATTGCTCTGGTATCATGAAGAGTGGTGCTGTAACAGTACGAGAATCTAAGATTGCAGTCCTCTACAACCAATAAATTTATCTCGGACTGAGTCTCATATCACCAAAATCCAGATGTCCAATTTTGAGATCACCATGAATAGACATTCAACCTATGCAGACTGCCTAAGAAGTAAGACCCTTTAATATAAATTAGAACACTCTCTGCAACAAACATTCCAAAGCATTAACCTCTTCTTAATAAATATGGTTGTACTGAGGAACCCCTCATCAAAGCAATCTAAAATCCAAATTCAACGGCGATCAATAACATATAGGGAATAACGTCAACCCACAAATTCAAACGAGAAATATGAAATCTACTATGAACAAAATAACCTCATACCCTAAAATCAAAAACAGACAAACCCTGATTGATTGAATTATATTATATATGCAATAAATAAATAATAGATGCAAGTACATAAATTTAAACAGAGAAAGAGAGAAATGGGGGGTGGTACAGTATGGTATGGTATGCTTACACCAAAGTGAAAGAGATTGATGACGGTCCAGGCCATGCCGGGAGTGCAGCCGAAGATGGAGAGAACGAGGAGCCAAGAGAAGAAGACAATGAATATATAGATTGTCCATACACCTGGATACGTGAACCACTCCGTGTTCCGATTCAGATCCGTCGTTGGCACAGCTTTCACGTACATCTTGATCTTGATCTTGATCTTGATCTTAATCTTAATATGATGACGACGACGACGATAAAGTTTTTGGGGGTTTTCAGATTAGAAGGAGGTGATCAGTGCAATCATCTCCACCTCAATCCCACCGTCGTTTGTGTTGTTAAAAATGGATACGTCAACTCAATGCCCTAAAACAAACACAACACACAAAAACCTATACGTCTCTCCCTTTGTCTTCCTCCGTGTTGAAAGAAAAGAAAAGGAAAGGAAAGGAAAAGAAAACAAAAGAAGGAAAGGAGGAAACAGCAAGGAGAAGAGTTGTGATCCATTCCACTTGTGGATTTCCTCTATTTATTAATCCCAAAATTATCCAATAAACAATTTAGGTAACTGCCTCCCTAATTAGGCCCTTACTCACATAAAGAGAAGAGATTAATTTTAATTATATATCATGAGCGGAAATGGATCAAGTAATCTGTTCCTTTATTAAAATAGAATATCCACTCTAATACAGCCCCTGCTCTAAGTCGATATTATTATCCCAGACCCACACCTCAAGATATCTTGTATAAAGAAGATTATTTAACAGATAAAAACATTCATGAGGCAGTTAGTCTTCGTGTTCAGACCTATGGGTATGATTACTTACCTGGATCGGAAGTGATAAGCGTTATTTATCGCATCCATTACAAAGTACTTGATACTATGTGTCCCAATGCCATACGCAAAGACTCTAAAGGAGTAACAGCGTTGTGGGATACCAACATGTACACGTCAAATGTTGCCACAAAAAGGATGATTCCTTGGAGTGAGATAACATTTCCTGAACACTGGACGATTTCTAATGCCGTTCCAGCACAGCCAATTGCTAATCATAGCTTAGACTGTGTTATTCAGGACCAAGATGGTGATGTTTTTCTGAATTTCAAAAAATCCATAGATCTATCCAGATCTACATCATCTAAAGGAAGTCATCTTCCTTATCATGTTTCTTGTCCTCCTTCTCGCCATTCGATCTCGTCGGATTACCGAAAGGAAGAACTCCCCGAAGCTGTTGGTTCCAAACTCAAGCTGAAAGGAATACAGCAATCTCAGAATCAAATTCCGAGAGGAGTCTACGAGAAAGCACCAATAGGTATGTCTCGTCGCCAATTTGGACTTGAATTCAGCCCAACACCATCTGAAATGGGGATCGGAAATGAATCTGTCAAGGATCAGTTTGATGATCCCACAGACATCAATGATCCTCATGAATATTAGTTTTAATGGATTTTGTCCCAGATAGAATTGCCATTAATACTGAATTTCAACAGGAACAATATAAAGAATTCAGAAATTGGTATTTTAAAGCTTTTGACCAAAATCAATTACAGCTTTTTAAAACTCAATTATATGATTTTCTACAAGAACGCAAAATGGTTATACCTTTTGTTTCTTGGTTTTATATGACCAATCATTCTCTTGTTAATATTAACATATTGGATGATTTTCTCAAACCATGGACCACATCTGAAGATAAGGTTTTTCCCTCTGTCCATCCTCCCACTGAACATTTAATTCTGAAAAGGATTGACCCTGACAGTGGTTCCAAAGTGGAAACCAAGGCTTATAGCCAACCTAGAATAATTGATCCATCCTGTAATGCTACTAAAAAGGACATTTCTCATGTTTACAGGCAGAACAATTATACTAATGTTTGCCTACAAACGATAGGGTCCCAGCTTGGGAGAATTGAAACAGGCATCGACACGGTATTAAATACAATTAATACTAAGTGTATTGCTGTTAAAACTTCTCCTCCAGAAGCTTTCTTATCCAAAGCATTGGTGAAACCTGCAATTGAAGTTCAAGGCTTCAATCTTACACATCCTAAGAAGAATGAAGAATTTCTTACTCTTCTTACTCAGAAAATTCAAGGACTCAAAATTCAGACTTTATCCCATGATGAATCTGAAATTGGTTCTGATTCTGAGAATGTGTTACCTCATATTGAGGTATTCCAAACTGATTTTACTCAGATGCCTGAGTTAAACCGAATTGTCTACGATAAGAATATCCACTCTAATACAGCCCCTGCTCCGAGTCGATATTATTATCCCAGACCCACACCTCAAGATATCTTGTATGAAGAAGATTATTTTCATACACAGAAATCTTTTCATGGCAAGACCATTTATGAATGGAACATAGATGGTAAATCTGATTATCAGATTTACGAGGTTATTCATCAAATGTTGATGTATAGCCAAGTTTGTAAAATCAACAACAATACTGACCCAACCATTGCTAAGTTTGTCGTTGCTGGTTTTACAGGAATCCTTAAAGGATGGTGGGATAATGTTCTCACTGACATTCAGAAAGCTGAAATCTTTTCTGCTACCAAGATTGTTAAAGATGAAGCTACTCAACAAACAGGACCTGCTCCTGATGCGGTTTACACTCTCATTACCACTATTATCCAACATTTTGTTGGCCCTGAAGGTGCTAATAGTGAACGGAGTCGTGAGCTTTTACAGAATCTAAGATGTCCATCTTTAACTCATTTTAGGTGGTATAAAGATGTTTTCTTAGCCAAGGTTCTCCAACTCAATGATGTAAATCATGAGCATTGGAAGGCAAAATTTGTGGATGGTTTACCAACCTTTTTTGCCGAAAGAATCAGGAAAAAGCTTAGAGATATGAATAATGGTATCTCTATCCCTTACAGAAACTACACCTATGGAGGATTAGTCAACACTGTAATCCAAGAAGGTCTAGCTCTCTGTAATGATCTGAAGTTACAATCCCAGTTAAAATCACAAAGATTAACTGGAAGAAAGGAAGTAGGTGAATTTTGTGATCAATTTGCCTACCAGACTCCCTTATCTTATCCTAAACCTAGGAAAAGAAATAAGGTTGAAAAACCTTATAAAAGGAAGTATTCCAAAAGAAAGAATTATTCAAAGGATAATTCTAGACAGTATACTAAGCCTAAAAGGAAATATATTCCTAAAGCTAAGGGTAAAGGAAAGCCCAAAGCTAAGGCTAAATGTTTCAAATGTGGACGTATCGGCCACTATGCAAACAAGTGTAGAACTAAGGAGAAACTCAGTAGTCTTCACATAGAAGAAGAACTGAGACTTCAATTAAGTAAATTGTTACTTAATACTAGTTCTTCTGAATCAGAATCATCAAGTGATTATGGGGATGTTGTCATGGAATTACAGTCTTCTTCTTCCTCTGAAGCTGAGATTGAAAAACCTAGATGTTCCTGTAATCCCTCACATGATGATTATTATAAGGCAATTGTTGAGATGAATGGGTTAAGCTTAAATGTTCTGACTTCGACTCAACAATCCTTATTGGATCTTATAGACCATATCCAGGATCCTCAAATCAAGATGAAAGTCTTTGAAATAGGTTCTGCTCTAGCACAATCTAATGAGGATACGGATAATCCAGATTTTCTGCGAGCAGAAAATCATTACAGCATGAAAGAAGTTCTAAGCAGATTAGAACACCAAGGACAAAATTCTCGTCCTGTTAATCTCCCTGATCTCAGAATGGAGATTAATCTTTTAAAAGAAGAAATTCGTCAATTAAAGTCTCGACAGACTAAGATGGACTTGGAAATTACTCTTTTAAAAGCAAAATCTGCAATTACACCTTCATCATCCCAGGAGGAAGCCCCTCAATCCGAAGGTACTAATTATCTGCAACTCTTGAATCAAGTTACTTACCAAAAATGGTATATATCTATCAATTTGGTAATTAATCAGGAGTACACAATCACTAATGCAATTGCCTTAGTTGATAGTGGTGCAGACATGAACTGCATACAGGAAGGATTGGTTCCTACTCAATATTTTGAGAAAACCACTAAAGGTCTTACCAGTGCAAGTGGAGGTAAGATGCAGATTAAGTATAAACTTAATCATGTTTTCATTTGTAAAGAAGGAGTTTGTTTACCATCCACCTTCTTACTCATCAGGAATATGGCACAACAGGTTATTTTGGGCACCCCCTTTTTAGCTTTGATTATGCCGATTGAGAAAATTGATTCTCATGGAATATGCTCTAATTTACATGGCCAGTCAATTACTTTCCAGTTTTTGACCCCACCAGTAAATAAGCATATCAATGCTCTTAAAGATAACATTATCTTTAAGGAAAAGCAACTGAATTATTTGCAAAAGGAGGTATCCTCCTTAGCAATTAATCAAAGATTGGTACAACCCACTGAGCAACAGAAAATTGAGACACTACGACAAAATTTTCTAAAGGAAATCTGTAGTGAGATTCCTAATGCTTTTTGGGCTCGATAGAAGCATATTGTTTCTTTACCCTATGAAAAGGGATTTACCGATCGCATGATTCCTTCTAAAGCTAGTCCCAGCCACATGAAAGCTGACTACTTGGAATTATGTAAAACTGAAATCAGCTCTTTACTGGCTAAGAAGCTTGTCACTACTAGCTACTCCCCCTGGAGTTGCAGAGCTTTTTATGTCAATAAAAATGCTGAAAAAGAACGAGGAATTCCTCGATTGGTTATTGATTATCGGCCACTCAATCTTGCTTTAAGTTGGATCCGATATCCAATTCCCAACATCAAAGATCTTTTAGATAGGTTACAATCTGCTGTCATCTTTTCTAAATTTGATCTTAAATCTGGATATTACCAGGTACAGATTGTCGAAGAAGACAGGTACAGAACAGCCTTTTGCGTACCTTTCGGACAGTATGAATGGACAGTGATGCCATTTGGATTAAAAAATGCCCCTTCAGAATTTCAACATATTTTGAATGACATATTTAATCCTTTTACTGAATTTTCTATTGTTTATATTGATGATATTCTCATATTTTCAAAATCAATCGATCAGCATTATAAACACTTGAAAATTTTCAAAGATGTCATTTACCGAAGTGGTTTAGTAGTTTCTGCTCCTAAACTAAAACTGTTTTTAACTAAGGTCAGATTTCTTGGTCATGAGATATGTGATGGGAAAATTAGACCTATTAATCGCAGTATTGAGTTTGCTTCTAAATTTCCAGATGAAATTAAGGATAAAACTCAGCTTCAAAGATTTCTGGGTAGCTTGAATTATATTCGAAATCACTACAGAGATCTTGCACAGGATACAGCAATTTTGTACACCAGGTTAAGGAAATCTCCTTCCCCATGGACTTTGGAACACACCAAGGCAGTCCAGAAGATTAAACTCAGAGCAAAACAAATTCTTTGCTTAGCTCTAGCCAATTCTTCATGGTTCAAAATTGTGGAAACAGATGCCTCCAATATTAGATATGGTGGTATTCTTAAACAG